CCATAACCTTTGGGAACAGTACACTTCAAAATTATAATCTTATTAATGTGAAACTATCAAATGTACTGTTATACACTTCTACTAAAGCTGCACATGCCTGTGTAGTAACTGTGTTGCCTGCTGTTTTGTGTTTTGTAGAGCAAGTTCTTTGAGACATTTGCTGCTCCATTCACCAAGAGAGGTCTGTTGCTCAAATTCTTGATATTGGGAGGTGGCTCTACCCTCGCCTACTTTAGTTCCACAGCATCAGGGGATATCCTACCAATCAAGAAAGGCCCGCAACTTCCACCTAAGCTTGGGCCACGTGGCAAGATCTAATTGCTTTTCGACCCAATTCTCAACTTTCAATTTGTAATTGATGTATGTGCTCCCAGTTTGTGTAAGTATAATTGAAGACTTCCCATTACTACAATTTTATATCTTATGGTGAATTTGTAGCATTTGCTTTCTTAGTTGATTGATGGCTCAATTAACTATTATTTGTTTATATGTTCTCACCTATACTTCCTTTAGTTGAATTAAAGGGAATTAAGATAATAGTTTAATTTGAAGGGGAAATGAGGGAGGGGATTACAAGATGGGGAATTGAACCTTACCAACAAGGTGGAAAGTTCGTGTAGTCAACCAACTGAGCTACTAAACTACAAACCAGATAGACTTATAAACTACAGATCATATTTATTAATAGATCTGAAAACCAGAGGTTATTGAAGGTAAAAGGTCAGCAATTCTCATTGTTGTTCAACAACAAAGTGACAACGTGTACTGAGTAAACGGTTTCAAGAACTGCCACAGACCCATTAGGTCTACTAACTTATCCCTACTTACAAAAGGAATGACTTTAGTGAAATCCTAGAGTGGTTTGATTCATCTCGATATGTACACTTGACGCCGAGCTTTCTTAATCTGATGAAACTCTGTCCATCAGTCCTTGCCTCTGATGATTCAATCAGTATATTCTGATGTGAAGTCATTTAGTGGCGTGCTGTTGGACTTCTGGAACCAGTCAAATTCTCTAGGTAAGAAACTCTCTTGTTAGTAACTATATTTGGAGGTTTGCTTAGAAGCTTTGCATCACTCTCTTTTGATCGGATTTCTTCCTTCGTATCTTTCTCCGTGTCTTCATCTCCTTCTCCCCAACCCATGAAATCCAGTAGTGTCATTGAATTTGGTGTTTCTGCAGAGCTAAGCTTCTCTACTTCTTCCTTATCATTAAATGTTCCATCTGATACTCCCAACGAATCTCCCATTGGAAACCTCTTTACTTCTCCATTTGAAGGATCATGGGCCAGATCATCTGCCTGCATTACATCTTCAATTCGCGACATGACTGTGAATGCCCTGCTTTCAATTATTCTTGAATAGCTTTCTAAAATGGCTTGCCCGATATCCTGTAAGATAAAAAAGATAATAGGTTATGATCTTTTGAAGTCCAAGAACTGGATTTTCTATTAGGTTGAATCCTTCCGTGAAGTCATTACGTAATCATAGAAGAAGCAATGAAACAAAGTTGCGAAGCAAGAAAAAGCATATGGATGTTCTGAAGCATTTTGTAGATTTACATCAGTAAAATGGAAAGATAATCAACACGGGTCCTTCTTACTCTGTTGTACTGAATTTTGCTTATGTCTAGTGATGATTGAGGAATTCCAGGGAACCGATGCTTAAGAATAAGAAGGATAGTTTCTGCTCTGTCTTCAAATAATTCTCTTTTCTCCATACTAACGGCTGAACTCCAGGCTGACTTCCCATCTTTTGCAGTCATCTTTCTTCTCCAAATAATTACAGAAGCCTCAATCCTGTTCTTGAGGTCTAGAATTTTATGTTCGGAGGACAAGTCCATAGTTGAAAGGAAGTAGTCCGGATCAAAGTATTCATCCGTGATGCTCCTGTATATTGAGTCTCCAAGGCTCGCTCTCCCATTCTGAACACACACACACATAACGAGTAAATATTAAATCAAGATCATAAGCTTCCGGTTAGCCAAACTGATGAGATTCTAGATTTCAAAACTTTCTTGTACCTTGGGTAAGGATTCTATATAATTTTCAGGAACCTCCATCTCTGTAAGAACTTGAGCATTTATGGCGAGGGCTGCTTTATGAACTTGGTTCACTGAATCTTTCTGAAATTGCAGCCATTTCCTAGTAGTATCCGACAAACCATTAGGAGGAACCTTAGGGGTAGGTATCCACCATTTATCATCTTTCCTGGCGGTTTTACCTTCATCATCTTTGGATGTATAACAGATTTCAGTTTGGTCTTTAAAACTATCTAAACAATCCTGTTTGTTGTAAAACCAAACATAAGCATAACTAAGCGTAAACTACATTATTTAAAATGACATAAGCTAACCAAAAAAAGAGAAATGAAAAGCAATGCAAAGAAAGAAAAGAAGTTTTCTCCATACCAGAAGCATTGTATCTAGCTTACGCAATGCTGGAATGTTCATTTGAAGATCAGTTCTCTGCTTTGTCACCATAATCTGAAAAAGTAAGCATTTGATGCTCTTGTTAGTTTGTTCATAATATAAATGACTGGTGTGAAGAGGAATTTTCGAGGAGAGACAGATGTATACCTCCATAATTGTTCCGTCTTTTGATTTTTGTTTAGAAGCAACAAATTCAACAATATAATCTGTAACAGATAAAAGCCAATCAATTTCTTTTCTCCACTTGGCTTTTGTCTCTAGTTGCATGGGTTCTAATCTCTTCTGTTCCCCAAACGCCGAAGCTGTGTTTTGTGAAAAGAAACAAAACATCAGAAGGAAAAACAAAGGTAAACAATGAAACCTTCAAATGATCTCTGTAGAAAAAATTCAGATACCTGCAAGGTTTGTAATTGCATTTGACAGCGCCAATGCTGATGAAACACCCTTTCCTCCGCCAGACATATCCTCACCAAGGAGCAACTTGGCAAATTTTTCCTTCATCATGTCCATATCTGAGTAGGAATTACAAGAGTATGTTCGTCAAAAATATGGCCAGACCAACAAAAAAAGAAAGAGACTAAAAACAACAAATTTTGATATTAGAAATACATTCAAAATCATTTCAGCCAAAAAAATAAAAAACAGAATACCAATAAACCCCAAATCTGGCAATATATTCTGGCATGTCTTTATATCCTTGCAAGCAGAGGTGGACCTAAGGAGAGCAAGGGGTCCATTTGAACCTCCTTCACTAAAAAATTACATTGTATATACAACATCAAATTCTTTTTTTTCATATCACATATGTTGAATTTCCTAGGCTTCTTAGTGTGTTTGTTTCTTTATACTTTGAATCATCCTAGTGACAATTCTGACTCTGTAATTACCGGCAAAAATTGTAGAATGCACATAAAGGAGGGGTATAGGGCGGGAAGAAACAAAAGCAAAAATCTAGGAGAAACAGAACAATTTCTTTTTGCCATGGATAGATAAATTGAAATATTTTTGCCAATTTCCAAAATTTCAATCCTCTAAACTTTTTTTTCTTCAAGTTGAAGCCTAAAAGGGGACAAACGATACTATACAAATTCATTTTCAAAGAAAAGAAGATAATGACTTGCCTGAAGGCGGGCTGTTCTCTTTGACGATAGCAGAGGCTGAATCGTCTGCTTTATTAATATTACGTGCCTTGATGGTCTCTTTACGGGTAAGTTTCCACCCATTAATATTTTGAGATTCAACAGCAGGAACCTCTAATTTCTCTTCCTCTACTGCTCGAACCATATTTTCTGATTCAAGCAAAATAAATAATTAATATAATGTGTATTACACGACGAACTTCGAGACCATAAAACAGGAAATATGATATGGAGATGATGAACAAAATGGAATTTTTTTAGAGAAGGAAAAAGGGGTTCAGCAGGCGCATATGGGAAGAAAAAAAGAAACACAAGTTTTTTTTGTTGATGGAGAATGAAGAGGAGTCTTTGATGTTAGGCTCTCTGTTTTTGTGAATGGTTGAGAAAACGTGGGGTGCATGTTTTTCTATAATGAAGGATGAAGACAGATCACTTCTCTTTTGTCTTGTTTAGCTAAATTTTTAAAATTTCCCCTACATTTAACTTTCAATTAAATAGAATGAGTAATTTTCTTCTCCAGACTATTTTTTAGAATGTGTAATTTTGGTATCGAGACTATTTTTTAGAAGTATATTACCTCAAATATGGAATAACGGTATGAGTTTTTAACATAATGCATGGTATTAAACAGTGAAACGGTTAATGATTTTAAATATTTATAAGCAAAAGCATAAAAAATACACATTTTAATAAATATGCTTAATTAGATATTACAATGACTAAAGTTAAAATTTAATAATAGCTAAGGTACCAAAGGATGGGTGAATATTAGTGGGAGGCCTTCCATTCCCAAAAATAAGAATCACGATAAGGTCAAATATTGGCAAATCTGCTGCAAAATTTTTAAAAAAAATGTGTACTTGTATATTATCTGTATTTTTTAATTTAAAAATGACTTCTTTTTCCTCCTCAATTCAAGTAGGAAGTTGATAAAAAAATAATAATTAAAAAAGTGGTTGTCTCCAAGGTTGTGAATGGCCTTTTACTTTACCCAACATAACTGTTTCGCACGACTTGCTTCTGGGGAAACAATAGCTCAATCTTATGAAGGATGATTAAAGTGTTTTGACTTCTATTCACTAATAATGCAAAAACTTTAATTATTAGATTATTTAAAAGCTACGTGAAATTTCTTACAGTAAGCAATATTATGGAGTAATTTGCAAGCATCACTCTAGTTGTTATATTACTTTCATTTTTTTAGTTCGTTTAAAAAAGAATAACGAAATCCTGACAATCTTCTCTATCTAAGTCCTAGATATTTTGATGGTGAGTAGGTTTTTCTATGACATATTTAAGATATTTTACATATTTTTAATTTAATATTACAATTTTTTAAAAGTATTCTTTGTGAACTCTCAGCTACCAACACAAGTAGTGAGATTCATACTCTCTGCAAATTCGCCTACTTCCAAACACAAGCACGAGAAATGGAATCTATAGGAGTGTTAATGACATGCCCAATGTCACCATACCTTGAACAAGAGCTAGACAAGCGCTTCAACTTTCTCCGGCTCTGGAAATTCCCCGAAAACCAAAAAAACCACTTTTTGAAGTTGCATTCAGATTCCATCAGAGGAGTCGTCGGAAACGCAACAATCGGGGCTAATGCGGAGTTAATCGGAGTATTACCGAAGCTTGAAATAGTATCAAGTTACAGTGTGGGACTGGACAAGATCGATTTGGGGCTTTGCAAGGAAAAGGGAATCAAAGTCACTTATTGCCCAGATTTGATCACGGATGACGCTGCAGATACTGGAATTGCTTTGATTTTGGCAGTTCTGAGGGGGATTTGCAAATGTGATAGCTATGTTAAGAATGGCATTTGGAAGAAGAACGGTGATTTCATGTTGACGTCCAAGGTCAGTCAGTCTCCTCTGTCTTTTTCTTTTTAGAGTTTGGGCCAAGTTTCGATCTGGTCCAGCCCTAACGTACGTATATTTGTTGGACTATTTTTAGACTATGAAATATGGAGCCTAACAGTGCACCGGTGACTGGCCTACCATACATTTATGCTCTGACATTTTTGTCATTCTATTTTACTTAATTTTATTATTTAATCAGCAATAAAGTATATTTAGTGAATGATGTAGGCACTTCAAAATCGAATCGAAATCAATAACTCAAATCGAATTTTTTTATTGATTTATCAGTAATGGGTTATTGGTTTAGCGATTTTGATAACGGTTTTGATTTTTTTGTTATTGGGTTATCGGTTCTTAACGGTTTGTGGTTTTTTCTTAATGGGTTAACCGATAACCCGATAGTAAATTAAATAATTATATTTATACCATTTTGTATATAAAGTCCTTGACTTAAAGTTTGGTTTCCTACTTTTATTTCTGGTTGTCTCAAACACTTGGCTATTCTACAATGTAAAATTGTTTCTTTTTTAGCAAGATGTAACTTGTGAACTCATGTGCATGGTTCATTTGGTTTGTCACCTTGTTTCTAAGTGATTTTCAATATTTTTTTTTGTGTCAAATTTTAACTGTTAAACCAATAACCGAACCAATAACAATCAATAACCGATAAAACAATAATTGATAAGTCAATTTCTTAATGGTTCTATAACAGTTTAACATCTCTACAAATCGATAACTAATAATCCAAACCGATAAACTTCAAAATCGAACCGAACCGATCGATACGCAGCCCTAGTGTGATGTTAAGATATGTATTAAATTTTTAAATATCCTTAATAACATTTCTAATTTTGGCACGATCATTAGCATAGGTAATGAAAAATTTAAACTTAAGAACTCATAATTCTCAATTTGAATTCACCTTTCACCTTATTGATCATTGGACCACATTTTTGGACTCGAATAAATATCATATAGTAAAAAAAGTAAAAATAAATAAATCTGAGGATTCGATGCTCCAAGTAGGTACAACTATATTAATTTGATATATAGTTGGCACCACACATCTTGCGCAAGTGATCAACTCCTCATAGCAAAATAAACGAGTCCACTAGTATCACTCCACACAAGAAGAACCACAAGAAAAAATGGAAAGCATCGGAGTGTTGATGGCCTGTCCAATGTCATCTTACCTAGAACAAGAGCTAGATAAGCGATTCAAGCTCTTCCGATTCTGGAATGTTCCGCAGAAGAATGAATTCCTCATTCAACACGCTGATTCCATCCGTGCTGTCGTCGGCAACGCATTCGCCGGCGCTGACGCTGAGCTCATCAATTCCCTCCCTAAGCTCGAGATCGTTTCGAGTTTCAGTGTTGGTTTAGATAAGATTGATTTGAACAAGTGTAAAGAGAAGGGGATTAGGGTTACTAATACTCCCGATGTTTTGACTGAGGACGTGGCTGATTTGGCTATAGGGTTGATGTTAGCCGTCCTCAGGAGGATTTGCGAATGCGATCGCTACGTTAGGAAAGGCTTGTGGAAGAGCGGTGATTTCAAGTTGACTTCTAAGGTTCGCCAAGTTTCAATCCATTTTTTTTGTTGTTCATTTTCTGCCGCTTTTATATTTCATATATTATGTCAGTATCCCATAGTCTGATGCCTGTGAGAAAGGCACATATAATTGAAATTTTGATGATTTGCTGTTTGAAGCAAAAAGATGGGAAATTTAGCTATAAAGCGACCAAAATATTACTATCTGCGAATTTTTGGCTTTACTGGTGTGCTAGAAATATATGTTTGTGTCTTGGAAATCAAGTTCTTCTACTTTTCTTATTCGCTTATGTAAAGGAGATGGTGTAATCTTCACCGTAGATGTAAAAATTCAACCGTATTGGTTCCTATGTAGGATTGAATTGTGCCAAGTATGGTTGCAGACTCTGACCTGTGTCAATTGTCAAGGCATCTTATTCCTTGTATTAATTGATATTAATGTGCTCGAGGCCAATGAAGTATCTAGTGGTTATCTGGATTTCATAGCTTTTGTATTGTCAGTTGTCACTTTGTTCACATGAAAAATATGAAGAATGCTAATGAATCCTTTGTAAAATATAGGTTGTTGAGTTTTTGCAGTAAATTCTCTCATTATCTGGTGTGTCTTGATTTATCTCAGGAGCTTATTGCTTAATATTGACCTTTGTCCTTTTGAACTATTTGATCATTCACTGCTATGTCTAAAAAGCTTCTCTGCTTCAATAACACATCTGTGGCAATATGTATATCCTTGAGTTGCTCGATGTTTTAGATGAGCTCAACAGTTGTCCATAACTTGTGGTCATTTTAGAGGAGCTATTCCATAATAGCCTTTTATTGTTGCATATTATGTTTCAGCTTGATGTACTTCTAATTATTGTATTGCTACGAGTACATGCAGCAAATTAAAGCACTTCTTTATTTGGAAAATTTATATTAACAGTAAGTCTTTTGCTAGCTGAGAACTTCAGTTTCCTTAGGATGAAACTGTAAATCATCTTATATCACCATCTTGGTTGTAAGTAATTATCTTGGAGGTGGTTCCACATTAATTGTGAGAAGCTATGGCCACCATACTAGAAATTGCTGGTTGTTCTTAATAGAACTTTTTGGAGCCTTTTTCTGCAGTAACACTCTGGTTATATCTGGTAAATGAACTGAGAGAAATGCGACCATATTGTTCATCCAATGATGTATTTACCAGAGATTCACTCATATTCTTAATGTTGAACCCATAAATTTCTAATTTGTTATTTTCCCTGGACCCCACATTGTGGGATTACATTGGGTATGTTGTTGTTGTATTTGGCTAAATTATATGAATTTTTGACCACTGGGATGTATTTCAATCTTTACCTGATTGCCTTCTATCTCTTTTGCAGTTTAGTGGCAAATCAGTGGGTATTATAGGATTGGGAAGGATTGGCTTAGCAATTGCTAAGAGAGCGGAGGCTTTTGGCTGTCCAATCAGTTACTACACGAGATCAGAAAAGCCAAATACAAATTATAAGTATTATCCAAGTGTAGTTGAGTTGGCTTCCAATTGCCAGATTCTGGTTGTGGCATGTGCATTGACTCCTGAGACTCGTCATATTGTCAACCGTGAAGTCATGGAAGCTTTGGGATCAAAGGGGATTCTGATTAACATTGGCCGTGGTCCTCATGTTGATGAAAAGGAGCTTGTATCTGCTCTTCTTGAAGGCCGATTAGGGGGTGCTGGCCTTGATGTGTTTGAGAATGAGCCTGAAGTACCAGAGCAGCTTTTTGGCCTGGAGAATGTGGTCATATTGCCTCATGTAGGCAGTGGCACAGAGGAAACACGCAAGGCCATGGCCGACCTTGTCCTTGGGAACTTAGAAGCTCACTTTCTGAACAAACCGCTGTTAACTCCAGTGGTTTAAGTATACGAATGGCTGCAAATAATTATTGTTTAGACCTTACATTTGCTGCAGCAACTAGGTTCTCACTTCACGTAGGAGCACATTGTCTCCTGAACTTTCGACCAAGTATTTCATGATTGTTTGAGTGTTTCAACTTGCTGTCACTGTTTGTATCTGACTATTTTCCATCTTATGTCTCCTTAACGTAATTAATACTTTAACAATAACAACAGTGACGGTTTAATGGGAGAGCTCAGTAGAGAATTCATGATCAAACTGGCAGTATTGTCGGGTGGAGAGGCCTTCCTGTGATAGTTTTACAATGATGCGGGGAAAATACTTTTACTAATTCAGATTGTCGATCCAATCTTGAAGATTGACGCTTGCTTTGAATATTTCAACTTTTTTCATTCAAACTTTCTGGGTGTCATCAAATTGTTTGGAAATGGACTAGAACTTGGTTGAGAACTCCCCCAACTTTCGTGCCAATTGCACTATATATTGTTTTGTTAAGAGCACAATCTCCCTTTCTTATATCTGTAGCTAAATTTGATATAGGTAAATCCTTTGTGTTAGCCCTAAGATCGTTATTGAAAAATTCAATGAGGGGAGAAGAAAGATTTTAGACAACACCACCCTTATTTTATAGTATTTGTGTAAGGATAAATCTATGATATTCCAAAAAACCAAACTTTTTCAAAGAGAGTTCCTTTGGTCGGACTTCATTTACAAATTTGCTAGGTCGGTCCTTTTGTGGTGGTAATCAGAAATGGATGAGATAGTAGGGGTATTATTGATGCGTCCATTGTCCAATTACATCCAACAAGAGCTAGCGAAACGTTTCACCCTCTTCAAATACTGGGAAATTCCATCTGAATCTCTCAAACTGCACTCGGACGTTATCCGAGCAGTGGTGGGGAATGGAGTTCAGGGAGCCGACTCTGCTTTAATTGATTCGCTGCCTAGATTGGAAATTGTATCGAGCCACAGTTCTGGGCTTGACAAGATTGATTTGGTGAAGTGCAAAGAGAGAGGGATTAGGGTCACTTCCGCACCCGATGGTCCCACCGACGATGTTGCAGACACGGCTATTTTACTCACAATCGCAACTTTGAGGAGGATTTGTGTAGCTGATCGCTTCGTCAGGAATGGGATTTGGAAGGAAAAGGATTTCAATTTGACCGCTAAGGTACATTTTTTGGCCTTTAGGTCCAACTTTATCTCTCTACTTCTGATTGTAATTCAAAATTATCCTCCATTATACTTCATGTTGGCTGTTTCCATTAGGGTTAAGAGACTATTTGCTAACGACAAAGATATGAATGACCCCGAAGTGTTATGTGCAGATAAAATTTGGATATTTCGTATACAGAAGGTCTTCTTGACCATTTTTTCCCTTAATTAAAGCTGGTCTGATGCTATATATTGAGCCCAAGGAACATTACCTGCTTCTCATGATGATCTTGTGTATTTTGAACCTATCTTATCTTAGTTTGCTCTTTATTTTCCTTTCAGTTTAGCGGCAAATCAGTAGGCATTGTAGGCTTAGGGAGAATTGGTTCATGTAATGACCCTCATGGTCATTTCTGTGTCTTGCCTTTTGTGTGTCGTTTAGAGCGTTCCTATAGCAACCCCAAGTCATTTATGACTTGCTGGGACTGACAGTTCGGTCACCTGGTCGTTCGTTTGGTCTTGGTGCGAGTTTTTGTGTTTTGGAGCTGATGAACCTTGAATAATAATTTTCGATCAAAAGTTCAAGGAGATGACATCAGAATCCAATTCTGACGATTCCATCAGCTCCGGAAGGGTCATTTTAGGCTAGTAGCATGGTCGACATGACTCCCGAGGTTTTCAGTGTGAGTCGGTGCGATTAGGCGTTTTAGCCTTTGAAATTTGGCTTAAGTTTGACTTTGGTCAACATTCTGAGTAAACGCGCTCAGATGAGAATTCCGTCAGTGTGGTTAGCTCCGGAATGTCGAGTTTGGTCTAGATTGACCCTTCTTTTGTGTCTGGAGGTTTTCGATATCTTTCCGAGCCCTTTTGTGGGTTTTGACTTAAAATGGCTTTTGGAAGTGGGACCCACTTTTTATCGAAATGACCTCTGATGGAAATTTCGACTACGCCGTTGAGTCTGGAATATCGAATTTGGTATGATTGCATATCTCGTTTGCGTGCACGGGGTTCCGAACGAGATCGGAGCACCCCGTCGGAGTTTTTAGTTTTTGAAAAAGTTGCAGAAAATCTGCTATTTATTGCAGAAAAATCAGCCAATATTCCAAAGCTTCAAACCCTCATAATTCTCTCATCTCTCAACCGATTTGGGCGATTCAAAAGGCAAAGTTGTGAGATTTTTTCGAGGACAATGCGTTGGTGAGCTCGGATAGTGATTTGGAGTCCCCGTTTGAGGTAATTTTCGAAAAACACCTGCTGCCAGACCCCTTTTTGTGAGTTTGATTTTGGGAAATTCTAAGACTTGTTTTCTTAGCCATTTTAGATCCGATTTTGGTGAATTTTGAGGCTATCTTGAGTGGTTTTTCGAGGAGAACATTGTGGTGTTGTTAGATTTTACTGTAGACCACTCATTTTTGGTAAATACACTGCTGTCCCGTTTCTATTTTTGAGAAAAATTGGGTTTTAGTTGCTTGTTGATATTGTGTTGTTCCCGAGCCCCGAATTGTGTCCCATTTTGGACATGAGCTGGGAAAACTGGTTAGGACCCACTTTTGAGGTTAATTTCGAAATTTTCTGCACGGGTCCCACGATTCCTGTTTTGACTCCAAAATTGACCCGTCTCCGTTTGTTGTGATTTTGGTGTCTAAACGACTGTAATAACGTTGTGACTCTATTTTTGATAGCGGGGCAGTGTTTCGAGGACTTTCGGAAAGGAAAAGCTCCGAAGAAGTGATTTTGGAGCGCGTGTGATCGACGTTAAGGTAGGCTACGGTTTTCCCTCTCTTAGATTGAGCTCGAGAATGTGAATGCATGTTGATTAGTTGGGATTTGGGTTGGGTAGTTATTGAAGCCTACATAGGTGTTAAGAAATCATGTTTTCGGCCTATTTCGGGAATTATCGGGTAACTGTGAGCATGCTTTGTGTTATTAACGGACCCTCCTCGCTATGTGGAGTACTTGCATGCTTAATTACTGTTTATTTGAAGCATGTTGGACCTTAGCTTAGGTTTGACTAGGGCTTGCCTTAGAAATACATGATTCGGATCCGATAGGCCTTAGTTTTGCCCCGACGTCGCTCGGCCGGCTTAAATCCCTGTAGACTGGTGTAGCAGACTTGAGTCTGATAGTTTGGGCCTTAGTTAGGCGATACTCTTTGTCCGACTATAGTTATCCTTATTTTCCCCGATGTTACGGCTTCACGAGTTACATCGGCGACACTAGTTCTACTTCGCGATTTGAATTTGATTTTTGATTTGGTTCCAAGGACTTACATTGATTGGCTAAGTATGGACGGCGTTCCATGGACATTTATGAGTGTGGATCGATTAAGACTCTTTCAGCAGCTACATTGGCACCTTTATAGAGCATCCAGTTAGAGTTCCGGCCTCTATCCCCCAGATACTTATATAGAGCATCCGGTTAGAGTTCTGACCTCTTATACTTGTTACTTGTGATTGGTTACTTAGGTACTTTTGGTGAGCATCCGGTTCGAGGTCCGGCCTCCGTACTGTCAGATTCTACTAATTAGGGTTGAGGTTCTGGTTTGATGTTCTTCGTTCTTGGGTTCTTTTATGCAATTCTCTATAGTTATAGTTTTTATCTAGTGTACTCGTCGGGCTTATGGGGGTCCGTTCGGGTTTTTATTTAACTTGCGCACGAGTGTACCTTCTGGGCTTATGGGGGCCCAGTTAGGTGTAGTTAGATTATAGATTACTTTAGTTAGTTCTTTGTACACTCGTGTGCATTCCATTG